AATGGAAATGGAAATTTCTGTGGGCCACAAGAGTTGTGCTTATTTTGAGGAGGGACTGAGTGCCAGGTTGCTCTTGTTGGGAATGTTCTGCTCTACCTGCTTGTGGTTTGGGTTATGGAAAGATTGGGATTTTTATAGTTGGCTCCTGGCAGGAATGCAGACATTTCCATACTTAGAGGGTTTGATAAATGGTCATTGGAGAAGAGAACAACTCAGCTAAGAAGTTCTTCTCTGTAGGGCTTTATGTGTAGTGCTTTAAAGGAGAATCTTCTGGTGGGTGGATGGGAAGGGTCAAGATTCACCATTTATTCTTCTAGCTGGGATATGATGAAACTGCCACAGTGGTTTCTGCAGTTCTGATGCTGCAATGTCATAGAGCAGAGCTGCTTTTATTTCCTAAATTAGAATCTGGTTGTGGATTTACTTTCACAGCTGTTATCTAATCTATGGGCTGCACTAAGACATATTTCTCTTCATTAGAACTTTTCCCATAGTTGTGAAATAAAAAATAAAAGTTTGTTCATTCAAAAATGGGTAAAAAATGCTTTTAAGTTCTTGACCCTCCTAAGGAGAGTAACTATGAGAACATCCTTTGTCTGGGTGTTGCCTTTCATGCTTATAATGATGGATTTTGAAAGTTTTCAGTTATAGCAAATCAAAGTCCACTTACTTAGAGTGAACATGACAAATGATGGGAAATTGCATATATTTTCTCCTGACCTTATTATAACATAAGCTCTCAAAGACTTCTGTGGAAGAATTAAATCATAAGCTTTCAGATTCTTTTTTTTTTTTCTTCTTCACACACGGGTGGGTTTGCAGATGCAGCTCAGTCTTTGCAGGAGCAGCTGAAATCAGATTTACCCATGCTGCAGTGTGTATTGGCATTGGAACTGGACCACCAACATCTTTTTTAACAGGAACACTAGGAACAAAATAGATTTCAGGCCAAGATTTGACTTTGAAAAGAGGAAAGTGATCATTATTTATTGTAGACTGTAGCTTGAGTTTGAAAACATTTCTTTTATAGTCAGTTTTAGTTAATGCAGGTTGCTGAAGAAAGAAAATACCTCCCTCACAAAGGAACACATGGGAAATAATAAGCTTATTAACTGAATGCATGAAACCTGCTCCCCTTTTCATGAAAGAAGGGTCTATGCTATGCTGAATAAAACTTTCCCCTCTGCATGCTGATGTGTGCTCCACGAATTGATGTTGCTGCTTCATTAGGAAACCCAGCATTTGAAGCTGCATTCTGGCAGCAGAATTCCTTTTGCTTACCAAACTTGGCCAGAGGAGTAAAAGAGCCAGCGCTTGTTCATAAGGGAGAAACAGAGAGTCTCAAAAACTGAAGTTTTCTTAAGCTGGAGCAATTTTTCATGTGTTTCAGGGTGAACCTTTAATTTCTTGCAGTAACTGTGTGTGGTGCAATGTAATAAATCACTTGAGGATGTTCAATTTCTAATTTCACTGTGTTTGACCCAAGTACAAATCAAAATCCACTGCAGCTGTGTAAGAAAGTACCTTCTTTCCTTTCTCAAAGTGTTGCTGCTTAACTGTAGGCTTTGTGAATATTTTTTATTCATTTCAGGTGCATAGCATCCAGTATTCACAGAATTCACTTTGTGGAAAGTGAACGTTAAGTAGAAACTCTGAAAATTACATTACTGTTGCAATATATTCTATTTTTTTTGATGTTACAGTCATAGTATTGTCCTAATTCTGGTTTCTCTGACATGTTTGTAAATGGAGCTGCTCTGTGCTCCTCCTACGCCACTGGCAACAGAAGCAAAATTCACTTCCAGACAGGAGGGTGGATGTGGGGGTGTTAGGACAAAGAGAGCGTTGTGTTTATAAACAAATAAACTGGGAAAAACATATTTTAGTCAGTGACCAAACATAAATAAAAAAAATAAAAAGATTTCCTGAAAACATTAAAAAATAATTTTAAAAAAAGGAGAAATTGAAAAGTTCTGGATTTTGCTGGGAAATAAATTTTGAGCAATGCGTTGGGATTTGGAAAGCAAGCCATTTCACTTGATCCAAGCCAAGCATCTTTTCCCTGAGGTCTGTGAACTGGAGCACTCCTCTGTGCTGTTAGGATGTAGTTGAGGTCCCAAGTCAAGCAACCCCTTCCATTCACTTCCAGAAGAAAGTTGTGGAGCTGGTCAGAGCCCTGTTTGGATGTGGTGGCCTCTGCTGCTGTGCAGTGACCTATCAGCCAGCTCAGTGTCTGAAACAGGGTCAGGTTTCTCAGCCAGGTTATGGACCTGGCTCTCAGGTCCCTCCTGTCTCAGGTGAGTGACTCTGTGTAGGCTCTGAGTGCTGGGGAATGCAGGCTGGCTTTGTCCATCCCTAACACACATTTCCTGTATTGTTCTCAAACTGTTGTGGAGTACCTGTGTGAGAAGGCAGATTTCTGTCCTAAGAAATCTGCTCATTTGTCTGCGTGCTCAGACCACCAGCTGAGGTTTTGTGCCTGCATATGTTGTACTGACAGGGTGTACAACCAGCTCTTCTACTTTATTGACACAACACTTACTGGTCATTTTTATTTTGTCACCCTTCTATTGCCCCAGTCCTGTTTTTCTGAGCAAGTGAAGGCTTCTCTGCCCATATTGCTCAGAGCATTGGGTCCCTCCCAGGGCCTGGTTGTAAATCCATCCTAGGCATGTTCATGAATCCCAGACAGCTATGATGATTTCTGGGCATGGCTGTTCTATGTGCTGAGATTTGTTTAGCATGATGAGGCCAGAAGATGGGGATTAAAAAACTTCGTGTTGAAAGTACTGTCAATCTCCAGTTCCTATAGCAATATCTCAATATTGAGATGGGCTATTACTATTTAAAAAAATAATCTATACAAATTAACTGTACAATATGCACAGTTGGGATTTTCATGAAGCTTTCACTTCAGTGCTGGACGTCTTCTGTGGAAGGCAGGCTGAGACAAAGGCTTGCTTGTTCTGAGTGTGCAAAAGGAGCCTGGTGCGGTGTGGGGATGGGAAGTAGACTGTGATGAGCAGGAGGACTTCAGGAAATGAAAACAAAAACAAAGAAGCAGTGTATGGTAAGAGGCACGAAGGAAAGAGCAGTGGTGCAGCTTCTGAAAGCAGAGTGAGGAGCTCTGCTGGCAGCTTGTGAAGAGGTTGTCACCTTCCTTCCTCTCTGTGTCAGGGCACTGTGTCAGGTCACTGCTGCTGCTCACACTGGAGCTCACGGGGAATCCTCCCACAGTGGTGGAATCCCTGGAAGGGCTCAGAGAAAGGTGTAGGTGTGGTGCTTAGGGATGTGGTTAGTGGTGGGCTTGGCTGTCTGGTGTTAATGGTTGGACTCGATCTTGGTTGTCTTTTCCAACCTTAATGATTCTCTGACTCCTGTGCCATTATCTTTCTGGTCCTCCTTAACACATTGGGTTGGATTCAGCAGGCTTGAGCAGAGCAGCAAGAGGCCAGATATCACTGTTTGAGATACTTTGTGGCTTGATTTTCCTTCTCTGTCAAACAGGAGCAATGCCCTGGAAGTCAGCAGGCTGGCACAAGTTTAAAAGCAGCGTAAGTCCTGTCTGTGTCTGTAATCCAGCTCCTGATTCCTTCCAGCTCCATGTGGGTACTTGGCCATAGGAAAAGGACTAGCAAAACCAGCCAGTATAATAGTTCCTGGTTAAGAGTCCTGGAAACCTTCTGTCTTCAGTAATAGTTTTAAAAGTACCATTAGTTCCTGCTATTCCACTTTGTCCATAACCATGTGAAATGGCTGAGTTTATTATTAAGGAGTCTCCAATACTGTTAGAAACTCAATTCTGTGCTAAGTCAGGAAGATGTATGTGACTGAAATCTTCAGTAGATCTGGTTTGGATCAGAGGAGGGAGGTTAACAGAGCCGTATCTTCACTGAGCAACTGAAAGTGAAGTAAAACAGTCCCTGTGTGGCTGCAGCAGCTCGTGATTTACAGGGCTGCTCCTGCTGCCGAGAACGCACGCTCTCCACCGCTGTTGATTTTTGAATTAAAAAAATGCAGCTCTGTACACAGTTTACTTTCGTGCTAGAGGGCAGGGAAATATAGGTAAGAGCCGTTAATCCCCAGCAGGCTGCTGGGCAGGCGAACAGACACAGATGACAAAATTTAATTGGAAACATGAGCAGTTTAACAGAAAACATATTTGTGATAATTGAGAGAGTAACATCTCCAAAAGGGAAACTCTGCAAAGAGGAACTGGTTCAGAGGAGAAGTGGCCACTGGTAGGTGAGTGTGATTTTTCAAGCTCTCTTTAGGCTCGGAACTAATTTCTTAATAAGAACAAATGACATTAGAAGGAACTAACTAAATAATGGATTTGTTTTCTCTGTGGGGGAGGGCTGTACAGTTACTGCCACAAGTTTCTCTTACAGCTGTATTAGGATATGTGGTAGTACTTAATTTAGGTTCTTTACAAAAGGATACAATTGGTTTTATTTTTGTATGTGGAGATTTCTTCTACCTTTGCATTGTGAAGATATTACCACCCCCACCCCTAATAACTGAAAGGATTTTAGTTTTACTTTTTTTTCCTTACTCCTGCATTTTTTTATGTTTGAGGTTTTTCTAAGAATCAAACTTGGACAGCGAGTATTTTGCCAAAAACAGAGGGAACCCTTAGTTACAAAATAGTGCTCTGTTCTTGCTAATGAAAACGTATTGTGGACTTAATAAGGGAGAGCACATTGCAGAACACATTTTGGTTTGAATTGGAAGAGATTCCTTTTCTTCCTCCTTTTTCTTGAAACAGCAAGTAAATGTAAATTATACAGTAGGAGCTCATTGCTGCTCTGCTGGGTAGGAAAAGAAAGCTGGCTTTTATTTTCTCTGGGTTTCACTGATATTGAAAATACTGATGTGTCTTTTTAATGTTATCAGTGTGAAATTCTTGATGTTTCATTACAGACAGAATCTCACAGTAGCTCTAATACCAGGTACTACCATGTTGATTTATTGGGTTGTTTTCTGTGTTTTTTTTCCAGAGCCTGCAGACAGCACAGCCTCCCAGCCCACAGGAATGAATGAAAATGTCTCATCCTCAGTTCAAAGCTGCGGGAGTGCTGTTCCTTGCAATAACTCCTCAGCCATCCCTCAGCCCAGCTCTGCTATTAAACCTTGGCGCAGCAAGTCCCTCAGTGCCAAGCACACAGCGACGTCTTCCATGCTGTCCGTGAAGCAGCCGGCAGCGGAGCCTCCAAAGCCTCCCTCGGAGATCACCAAAGCACCTCCCAACAGTCAGAAATCCATGCTGGAAAAACTAAAACTCTTCAACAGCAAGGGGGGCTCCAAAGCAGGAGTGTCCGGGACAACGCCGGAGTGTCCGGGCTCTCGGGACAACAGCTGTGAAAAGCTGGAGGCGCTTCTCAGCTTTGAGGAGAGCGAAGAGATCGATGCCACCAGCCAGAATGTGAACAACCCGGGATCCATGTCCAGCAGCCCCAAAATTGCACTCAAGGGAATCGCACAAAGGACTTTCAGCCGCGCACTGACTAATAAGAAAAGTTCTCCAAAGGGTAGTGAGAAGGAGAAAGAGAAACAAAAAGAGAAAGAAAAGGATAAAAGTAAAGACATTACAAAGAGAACATCCATCACCGAGAAGCTGGAGCTGAAGGAGGAACCTAAAGAAGAACAGACAGCACTAACAACAACAGAGATGCCAAAAAAGTCCTCCAAGATCGCAAGCTTTATCCCCAAAGGAGGGAAGCTGAACAGTGCCAAGAAGGAGGCCTCTGCCCCTTCTCACAGCGGAATACCAAAACCAGGAATGAAAAACACCACAGGGAAATCCTCAAGTGCCCCTGTTCCTGCCAAGGAAGGCGAGAGGAGCCGTGGCGGGAAGGCTGGCTCGGGGCTCTCGCATCAGAAGTCCCAGCTGGACAGCCGTCATTCCAGCTCCTCCTCCAGCCTGGCTTCCTCCGAGGGGAAGGGCGCGGGGGGCCTGCACGGCAGCAGCAGCAGCCAGGCCGTGAACGGGCCCGCGGTGAGCACGCACACCACGGGCAGCAACACCGTGAGCGTGCAGCTACCTCAGCCCCAGCAGCAATACAGCCACCCCAACACCGCCACCGTCGCGCCCTTCATGTACAGGTACGGCGCCGCCGCCACGCTCCTCCTCACACGGAGAAGCTAAGGCACAGTTCTTCCCAAGGGTTTCTGGGATTCGCATCCTCTTGATGGGAAAACAGTTCTTGTCTCATTCGCTGTGCCCGTGTTTGGGCCATAGCAGAATGCAACATGGAGATTGTTCACCCACAGTGAGGGTGTTCTGTTCCCTTGGCCTGTCAGGGCCAGGTGTGTGTGTGGGGACTGTGGGTGACAGCCACGAGATTCTGGGCAGTGTGAGCAGGTGAGTGCAGAATGAGTGCTTGGCAGATTCAGCTTAGGTGTAACGTAATGTAGTGTAATATAGTATTATATAGAGTAACACAGAATATTATAAAGTATTTATAATACTATGTTACTCTATTACATAGAATAATATAGTATTCTAAAGTAATTAGCCTTCTGATAAAGTGATTAATTAGCCTTCAGTGCAGTGCAGTTGTGTGCAGGGTTGAGTGCTTGGCAGATTCAGCTTAGATGTAATGTAATAAAGTGTAATATAGTATAGAATAATATGTTAAAGTATGATAAAGTAATTAATTAGCCTTCTGATAAAGTGATTAATTAGCCTTCAGTGTGGTGCAGTGCAGGTGTGTGCCAAGTGAGTGCTTGGCAGATTCGGCTTAGATGTAATGTAATAAAGTGTAATATAGTATAGAATAATATGATAAAGAATGATAAGGTAATTAATTAACCCTCTGATAAGATGGAGTCCTCCTCATCATCCCTCCTTCATCAGGGCCCACAGGACACATCCCTGGGGGCTGCAGGACTGGGGTGCTCAGGAGGGGCATTCTGGACACTTCCAGTGGGTAGAAGCAGCAAGGTAAATGCTAAATCATGGAGATGTCTCTTGCTTCAAGAGTGTAGGCAATTCACGGATTTTCACAAAAACTGATAGCACCAGACTTTGTCAACTTTGCTCATGTCTGAAGGATTATATAGATGTAATTTAACTTCATATAACTCAACTGTCCTGTAGGATTAAGGATGGCAAACCAGATATATTTATATGAGAATAAATTATTTATTTTGATAATGATTAGACTAATAGTTTTCAATCAGAATTATTTACTACACAGTACAGGCAGCCATGATTACTAGTATAGTATAATTCACTATTTTTGAATCAATATCAAAGCAATGATGTTGAAGTTATATTAAAAGCAGTTATTCAGTGGAGATTGATGTTATTCACCCATACCAATGTGAGCACATCTCTTTTGCTCACCCTGCAGGATGTCCCCACTCCAGGAGGACTCTGCACACACTCCAAGGAGGGGTGTGTTAGAAGACCTTGCCAATCAAGAGTGGGATTGGGCTTTTCTAGTACAAAGTGACATCAGCCACGTGTGTCCTGGCCTTTTCTAGTACAAAGTGACATCAGCCACGTGTGTCCTGGCCAGCTGTGCCAGCCCAGCATCCCCAGTTATCAGTGGTGTCACTGCTGGTTCCTTTCTCAGGTGCTTTACCAGGTCTGCCCCATCTTCCCCTCCCTGTGGGGAGGCTGAGCTCTGGCCTTGGTGAGTCAGGCTGGTTTCAGCGTTGTTCAACACCAAAAGCAGCAAGAGGCCCCTTCTCCTTCTGCCCCAGACAACTCTGTAAACAGGGCATGGTTCCAGTTGGTTTACCCCCACTCCAGGCACAGCATCCTGCTACAAGAGTCAGGTGAAATTCAGAGCATTGCAATAGTAATTCCCCACTGTGTCTTTACTTTTTTACAGCAGCACTTACCCTTGGGGCAGGAGAACTTCCAGCTGCCTGTTGGTGTGGCTCTGTGAGCACAACACAGCACAACTTGTACAGTGAAATGGGTCACAATATCTTACTCAAATCTGGCAGTAGATCCTTACATCACCTTTCATTACCTGGCAGCCATAATATCAGACAATAAATTGGAGTTTGAGGTTGGTTTTGCCCAGTCATTTCTCTTAAAATGGAAGTGATGTTGAAGAGAACCTAGCAGGGTGTAACATGACATCACATGCTTTGTCTTCATGCAATACATGATGCTCCCTGCTTTATCTTCATGCAATACAGACTTTATTGGAGAGGATCAGATTAGCTACAACAACTGATGTTATTGATAATTAAGATACATCTGGAAATCCAAGTGTTTTAAGAGACCCCATCTGATGAGCTGTGAAGCCTATCTTCGACTATGAATTTTTTATTTTTTACAGCTGAGTGCTTGTTTCCATTTCTAGGACATAATTCAACATGGGACTAATGAATTATGTAAAACCAGTCTGCTGGTGTGTTCTGGAGAGTGGGACAGAGTGGCTGAGGGCAGGTGCACTCGTTGTTATCCTTGAGGTACTTTGGATGGAGAGTGGCTGCACATCCCTGTTTTGTTTTGCTTTCCAGATCTCAGACAGACAATGAAGGGAACGTAACAGCCGAGGCCAGCACAGGAGGGGTCAGCATGGATTCTGCTCTTTATGTCAAAACTGCCCAGCCTGCCCTCGAGGACCTCTCAGGTAAGTCTTGCAGCATGACCCATTACTGACTGTGGTCTGGTTAAACATGAATGGGCTAGAGCAAGTTGATTTATTCCTGCTGCTTTCATTCTTAATAACTCTATTTCTGTCAGCTCTTCAGCAGTGAACTGGGTGTCAATGCTTTGAACTCTAGATACTTAAGTTCAGCACAGGTGTGCTCCCCAAATTTCTTGAAATCACCAGGAATTCTGCCTGCTTAATGAGATGTGCAGCATTTATTAGGCTTAAACTACTATAAGAATCCTCAGCATTCTCAAGCATTTCATATGCATTCTCTGGTTTTAAAAACTTCATTTCAGAGCTTACAGAACAGACTGTTCTTTTCCTTGATGTTTTGATTTGGAGGAATCTTACTATCACTCATATGAATCTGATGAATTTGAGAAACAACCTTTGCACCAATAGGGCACCAAAATCCAACTGCCCAGGATACAGAAGCTGAAGCTGGTTGTGGCTAGAATATAAGTAGTCTAAATTAGAAAGTACCTGGTATATGTATCTAGAATTCCTGCTACTGTAAGTATATGCTAGTTAGAAAAATAAATTAAGCTTACCGATATAACAAAGTGATTTTCAGCAACCATATTTGGTTAGAATATACTAGATTCTACTAATGTGGTCTAAAATGTGTTTTTAAAGTCACAGTCTGATCTCCTATCCCCATTTCAGCAATATCTATGACTTTGCTTACTGTGTGCTATTGCAGGATATCTCATCTGTAGAATCTCTCAGGTTTTTGTTTTTTTTTTTTCCATCTACTTAGTCTTGATGTCCCCCAGTTTCATGTGGGGTTTGAAACCACATGCCCTCCTTGGAAAAGTGATGTGGCTGAAAGTTTCACAATGAGATTCATTTCATGCTGCATTGCAAATTCTATCAATACTACCTGTGTGGTGATGGCAAAGGTGAGAGGCAGAGCCACTGGAGAGGAAAAGGGCTGCAGGAATGCCTAAGTGAACCTACCTGTGTGTACAATTTACACATAGGTGGATTAAGTACGTAAAAAGCACAAGGGGTAAAATCCCTGAGAACATTTTTGGGTTCATATTTAAATATGAGAGTTGCAAGTAAGAAATGCGATGTCCAGCTGCTGAAACTTTTTCAGCATTACCTCTTAATCATCATATTGGCTGGGCTGGATGTATTTCAGCCTGCAAACTGAGAAGTGTTTCTAGATCACAAAAGATACTCAGTCTCTAATGACAGATGTTTTGTAAGTACAAACTATTACTCAACTAGAATATGTAAGTTTTGGGATCCAGAGGCAGAAGACAGCTGAAAAACTCAAACAAGGGAGATGCAAACCTCAGCTGCGCACAGCCAGACCAGACAGCAGCTTCAATGGAGGGGCCTTGGGGGAAACAAAGCAAACTAAACAAAACAGTCCCTCAGCACAAATGCATTATAAGAAATAAGGCACAGATATCTTCTCTCCCTGCATAGCAGCTATTGATGCTGTTGATTTAAAAGCACATATAAAACAGAAGAGAGCATAAGTAGGGAAAAATGGAAGCAGAATTGTTTAAGGATACTGCCTGCTCATGAGGAGCTGAGTAATTTCAGAATTGAACTCTAGGGGCCAACTGTCCAATATCTGTCTCTAAAGTATACTTTCAATTTTAGCAGTGGAATGTCATTTAAGTGAAAATTTGGTATCAATTTAGGCATAAGAGTGATCTCAGTAGAAATTGCTTTAGTTTGTCTCCTGTGTGTTTTCCTAAGAAGTTACCTACCATTTGCCTTCACATATGTGAGAGAAATGATCTGTAAAAGAGCACTGTGACATTTGTTAAGCTAAAGGCCTATAAATATTTTATGGTTTTTACTACAAAAATTTGTAGATCCATGAGTACAGAAAATGTTTTCTGTCCCAGAGACCCACTGGCTAAAGTAATCAGTCTTGTTAGGTGGATGTTTTCAGTCCAGCCAGACCATAATTGTTTGACCCTCTGGCTTAAGTGAATTGTAACTCAAGGAGGTGGTTTCCCAGAGAGTAGAGACTAAATGAAATGAAAGATTAAATGAAAAGTGCTCACATGGGCACTAAGCACTTTGGTCAGTAGTTTGTAGCACTGCTGCTTTGCAGGCAAGAGTGTGTGAGTGGGTTTTTCTGTGCCACCAACGTGACATCTTTTAGAAGCATGAAATTTAAAGCGGAGAATGTAGAAAGTTCCAACAACAGCTTTTTTTATCTGGTTCTTCACATTTCTATGTGTGTAATATATAGATATCCATCTAAACTAGCAATTGTGTGGGTGCCCAGCATCCTAGCAACTCAAAAATGCATCACATGTACAGAGAAGGCTGATACAAAATTTGAAAAGTTTTACATTTACTGTAGTATTTTCTTGAGCCGTGAGTTGTAAACCCTTTAGAATGAAATAATTTCCTTCTGTGCCCAACAGCTTTGTGACAGTTTTTTGGAGGTTTACTGTTCCAGCTTTCAGCTTACAAAGAATAGGCTGGCACTGCTAGAAATTCACTTCTCTTTAGCCTCTTAGAGGATTTAACTCTATAAAGCTCAGCTGAGGTAGCGACCAAAGCATTTCTGAATTGACAGCTGAGAGCAGCTGAGAAATAAATTATGCTGAAGCACTAATTAAATTATTAATTTGGTAAAATGAAATTATGCTGAAACAGTAGGAAGACTTTATTTTTTTTGTACATGAACTCTACTTTTAAGGAGCAGGACATGAGTGTGTTTTAGAACAAAGTATTTAAAGAACAGGATTTCTAAATGCCATGAAAACCAAGTCATCCCCCAACTTTGTGTCATGTAGCACATTTTAGGAACAGTAACTGTGTTATGTTGACCAGCAAAACCTTTTGTTCTTTTACCTGAAACATCACTCAGCATGGAGCAGCCACCCAGTCAGCACAGTTTAGTTTGTGGAAAGCTGCTACTGTAGGACAAAGAAGATCTGGTGAAAACACAGCGTTGGAGAAATTGCCTGTGTCAGGTTAATGTTAATTGCATCAATATATGAGATGGAAAGGGTGGTATTGATGGAGTGTGTATTCTAATGAGGTTGAAAGTTAACCAGAATTTAAACTGGGTCAGCAACATCTCAAAGGCAGCAATGAGGGTAACCCTGCAGGGCTCATTTCAGTCACGATGTGATGACGGCAGGTGCCTGCTGAGGGCAATGGAATCTCAGTCAAACCAGCTTAGAAAGTCAGAAAAAAGTGCATTTGAGTCAGGCATGGCCATCAGCTCAGTTCTGTGCTGTTCCCTGCCTGCTCCTTACTCATGGCTTCCTTTGCCTGCAGGAGAGGATCCAGAGACGCGGCGGCTGCGGACGGTGAAGAACATCGCTGACCTGCGGCAGAACCTGGAGGAAACCATGTCCAGCTTGCGGGGAACCCAGGTCACCCACAGGTAAGGGCACCTCTGGGCTCCCAACAAAATGGAAACCACTCCCTGCAGCTCCCTGAAAGGTGGCTGTGCCCAGCTGGGGTTGGGCTCTTTCTCCAGGCAGCGCTGACAGAACAGGAGGACACAGTCTCAAGCAGTGCAAAGGGAAAGATAGGTTGGATATTAGGGAAAAGTTTTTTATAGAAAGGGTGGTAAAGTTCTGGAATGGTCTGCCCAGGGAGGTGGTGGAGTCAGCATCCCTGGATGTGTTTAAAAAGAGACTGGATGTGGCACTGGGTGCCAGGCTTTAGTCGAGGTGTTAGGACATGGGTTGGACTTGATCTTGGAGGTCTCTTCCATTCCAGTGATTCTGTGAATTCTGCTCCTACTTTACGTCTCTTACACCTGGGCTGCATCCTTAGAAAAATTATTAACACTGACAGTGGGAGATACTGATCTTGTAATTTTTGTCTTTAATGCACAGAATTTGAATAATGTTTGCTAGTTACTGAGATGTATGAAGAGGAATTGAAGTGATGGGATGGGGTGTGTATTGACTCAAAGATCAAGAATAATCACTTCTTGTTAAATGTGTGAGGTGATGTTTGAATATAAGTTACAGTTTAAAATGTTTCTTTTTACTGTTGAGTAACTTCAGTGCATTACACCTCTCTCCCCGCTATGTGTAATATTTTGTTTAAATAAGAGGTGAACTGTGCTTGACCCATATTATCAAGTGCATAACTTAAATTCCTGACCAAACTTTAGGCAAACAAATTCTTCTAATATTGTTAGTCATCCCCTGAATGTGACTGCTTTTTATTTTTGTAAAGCAGCATTTGGAAATCTTCAGCAATATTTAAAATATGCTGAAAATAAACAAAGATTGCTATTACATTTAAACATTATGTGAGTTGGATCTCTGCAGTGTTGAACAGGACATTTTGGAGAATAAGCTTTGTTTTTTTTATGTTTGGCCCATGATGAGGTCGGGGTCCTACCTAATGCTTGGTGCCTTATGTACCCCAGCCCTACATGAGTTTATTGGGGGAACACTTTGTGTTTTGTCCTTGTGTCTGAAACTGAAGCAGAGCTTGCAAAGATGAACTCCCAAAGCTGGTTTTTTTTTTGCAAATGTCAATTAATGTGACAGCTCTCCATGGTTTAATTGCTTTAACCAGAGAATACAGAGGTTTTTTGCTTATATGTAACATCGGGAATGGTACAATGCTGTTTATTTTTACTAATATCCACAATAAGTAAAAAAAAAGTGGCACTTAGTTGAGCAGGAAAGGAAAAGAGGAGCTCATGTGGGTAAGAGAAGTTGCAGCTATGGATTAGCCTCAAATAAATTCACTACAATTCAGTTATGAGTATTTAGAGTGTAGTCTTGCAATCTGTACACATCACCTGAAAACTCATGGTGTAGTCCCATTTTTAGGGTTTCATATATAAATATTACCAATATTTAAAAATATATATATAACTCATGAATATATGAGTAATTTATTGTTTTTTCTGGTTTTGGTTTGAACATCTTCGAAGCAGTTCATATTTCACTATTGATGCGTTAATATACAAAATATATCCTGAAGAAAAAAAATTTGACCTTTCTTCTTACTTTTTTCATTTGCTCCTCTTCATCTTGAAGAAATAGCTTCCATTTGGTGCTGGACACATCTCCAGAGTTAAAATTATCATGAATGCAGACAATAAAAGGAAATATATCAGAAAAATAGAACTTCAGCAGGTTTTCCTTTAGCAGCTTATTGGTCTCTTGCCTGGACTGGCAAAACCATAGTGTAATGGAGTTGTGTGCTTGAAGATGAGAAAGTTACACTTTGAAACCGTGGATAATCCATTAAAAAGTCCTGCTTAAGTCTTTTGACATGTATGTGTCAGAGCACCTGGTTGCCTGGGTGCAAGAGTCTCTTTAGGATCATTGGGGAAAGACCTGAAAAGTGAAAAGAAAGGATCTCCCAGTGCTGCAGCAGTCAATTTTTGGTGCTGTTACATACAGCCAGTAACTTGGTGAGTGTTCAGGGCCTTGGAAGCACCTGAAATCTCACACAGCATTCCATGTAAGAGCCACATTTGATCCAGTGCATCTGAGGCCTTGGGGTGGCTACCTGGAACAAAGGCTTGACAAGATTAAGGGGGGAATAAAGTGGGTATTTATTAAAGGCCTTCAAACCCCTTGGGCAGTCAGAAGCCTTCCAGAGGCTACACCCAAGATGGACGATGGCCACGAGTTTTTCAGACAGTGATAAGTTTGGTCCATTTACATATTGGCAGATAATTCTCCAATTGCAGCTTCAGGTAATGAAGTCATATTCCCCCAGTTTGCTCCCCTCAATTCACCTTTGTTTATACTTTTCGGGGCCTGAGGCAGTGAGGTGTCTTTGAACTTTGGGTCTAGAGGGATCTTTTTGTCTACCAGAGAGACACCTTTGGCTAGCTGGATGCTGCAGCTGAGCACTTGGAGGCAAGTCCAGGCATGCAGGAGCTCAGGTTTACCTCAGGGGAGAAGCCTAAAGGTGATGGTGAAGGAAAGGAGTTGGTTCTGCTGGAGGGTTTGGGTCCAGAGCTTTGTTCCTGGCCCACAGGCCTCTGAATCCTGTAACAGCTCTAAGAGAACCTCTCAAACCGAACCGTGTGGTTGCTGTTCCTTTGAACCCCGGGGAGAGGGAAGGGGTAGGGATCCCACCAACCAGGTAAGGGGGTGGAAGTCTCAAGGGACAAATGACACCTGAATGGCCCAATGTCCCCCAGGGGTGGACGGCATCTCTTGAACTCTGCCAATCACTGACAGCACTCAGCAGGGGCCAAGGGAGGGGGAGGGAGAGGTGATTGGCATACCTGGGCAAGTCTACAGGGAGAAACCTGAGGTATCTGAGACAAACCATGACATCACACCACAACATCTCCCCCTTGTTTTCTTTAAAATGCAGAGCACTGAGTTTGGTGCACAGAATCCTTGCTGAACCACAGCTGGTAAATTGGTTCCTCCTTTTCAGGAGGGTCGGTGTTTTGCACTGAGGCTTCCATGTCACCCATTGGAGCACTAAGGGCTCCCAAATGGTAGACTTGAGGAGGGGAAGATGAGCTTGAAGTTAGCTTGTAAACCATGTGCTTGATTAGTCTGAAAACAATGCTAACAACTACAATAACAATAACTAGAATAAACAATACTAAAATTAGACCAAAATGTGAAGTCAGTCAGCTAACTTTATATGGAGTTTAGAGTTATATGCTAAAGCAGTACAGGATTGGAAACCTATAAAAGCTAAGGGATTTTATCCACGTCTCTCCCTTCAAGCACCTTGGAGACCACGTTTGACACCAACGTCACCACCGAGATCAGCGGCCGCAGCATCCTCAGCCTGACGGGGCGGCCGACGCCGCTGTCCTGGCGGCTGGGCCAGTCCAGCCCGCGGCTGCAGGCGGGCGACGCGCCGTCCACGGGCAGCGGCTACGCACCCTCCCCGGGCAGCGCCTACCTGCCCTCCCCGGGCAGCGCCTACCCGCCGCGGGGCAGCGCCGGCCGCTTCGTCAGCGCCGAGCCGGGCACCGCGCGCTACCTGTACCCGGCGCCGCTGCGGCGGCAGCTGGCCACGCGCGGCAGCGGCCTCTGCCACGTGGACATCGCCGACAAGGCCGGCGACGACATCGACCTCGAGGGCATCGCTATGGACGCCACCGGCTACATGAGCGACGGCGACGTGCTGGGCAAGAACATCAGGGCTGACGACATCACCAGCGGGTGAGTTCGAACTTCTCGTGACTCTTTGTCACTGTTGTGTGCTCTGAAAAATCCCTTCGCCAGCGTTTCTTCTCCTGGGAAAATGAGAAGCCTCAGAGAAAATATTATCTCATAATATATATATATAATATCTCATTTGGTTGATATTATATAATATTAAAATTTGCTTAATATTATATATTAATATAATCTCCTTTGCTTAATATTACAAAATATTATCTATTATATCTATAGATATATATTAGATACATCTATATCTATATGTACTATATAACATATCATCTATAAAATTTGCTTAATATTATATTGTTGTATTGCCACAGATTACTGCGTAATATAATAATATCTCATTTGCTTCTCCCGGGAAGATGAGTAGCCTTAAGGAAAATATTATCTCATAATATGTTTTATCATATTATCTCATTTGCTTAATATTATATAACAATATTATCTATTATATCTATAGATGTATAATAGATGTATCTATATCTATCATATTATAATATTATCTCATTTGGTTAATAGTATATAATATTAAAATTTGCTTAATATTATATAACAATATTATCTATTATATCTATAGATATATAATAGAGATATCTATATTATGTAATCATATTATCCATAAAATTTGCTTAATATTACATGTTATCTTATTTGCTTAACATTGTATAATATCATCTATTAGATCTATAGATATATAATAGATGTATCTATATCTATTATATTATCTCATTTACTTAATATTATATAATATCTATTATATCTATAGATAGAATTAATATATCTGTAGATATTATATAATAGTATTATCTGTAAAATTTGCTTAATATTATATGATAATTTTATCTCATTTGCATCTCCTGGGAAGATGAGACACCTTAGGGAAAATATTATCTCATAATATACGATAATATTATTTCATTTGGTTAATATTATATAATACTAAAATTTGCTTAATATTATATAATAATATTCTCTCATTTGCTTCTTCTGTGTTTGCTGCTTTGAATGTGGTCTGGAGATCGTTTACCAACAGGTGCATGTTTGATTAGTTCCATGTGAATTGTTTTTACTCAATGACCAATCACCATCAGCTTTATCGGGTCTCTGAGGAGTCAGTCATGAGTTTTTCATTATCATTCTTGTTAAGCCTTCTGTCTGTATCCTTCTCTCTTTCTTTAGTATAGTTTTAGTACAGATTTCTTTAATATAAGTACATAAAATTAATCAGCCTTCTGAGAACATGGAGTCAGATTCTCATCTCTCACCTTGTCCTGGGGATCTCAGCAAACTCAACAACTCTTCCATTCTGTTTATAGCCCTGTATTTCCGTGATTATTTCGAGAAATGAAAGCCAACACCAAAGATATTCTACTCATTTTAATAGGCCTTTGGAGAGACGGCCCGTTAGCACAGAGGGGTTTGAAAAAAATTCAAGTTTTTAAGCCTGTATTAAGTATTCCTAGATGTGAAGATATTCGGGCATGTGATTAAACGTTTTCCAGAGTCAAGACTCACAGAGGTTGCAACATTGATTCGTGCCCACGAGATGGAGGGAGTGAGGCACATTTTGTACTTAGCTGAACTCTTGCTGCCTCAACTCTGACAGGCTATTTTGCTGGAAGGAAATGAGTTTGCATCTCGGTGCTGGGTAAAATGGTAGCACAAGCAAGAAAACATTTAAAGAACAAGTCAGTGTGCAGAAATATGAAGTGACAGACAATTATCAACAAGGTTTTACATCAATATTTTATCTCTGCCTTGAGTGGAAAAAGCATTTGTTCTTTGCTCCAGAGTCAATTTTCAATTAGTCTATTTGCAGTTCCTAATATAAAAGTAATTTTTTCTTAGCTCAAGTACATTAGCATTGGGCTGATGTTAAAAATTATCTTTGGGATTTAAATGGTTTGGTGTTTTGTTTGTTTTTTCTTGTTTGGTTTGGTGGGGTTTTTTTGTTTGTTTCTTTGTTTCTGTGGGGTTTGTTTGTTTGTTGGTTTGGTTTAGGTTTTTTTTGGTGCTGCTGGTTTTTTTTGGTCTGACCATCTTGCATCTTTTGCTTTTTTGTAATTTGTTTTTATTAGTGACATTTCTAGTGCTGTTTGCTTTTTTAAAAGACATAATGTCACTTACTGGAATCCAGCTGCTGCTTTGTGATTAACTTAACCAGTTCAGTTACACCATCTGGAAGCCTCCATTAATTCTGCCTGTTATGAATATTTGGATATTTTCACACTTTTTGAGAAGTCCAACACCTTCTTTATATGCTTCATTAGGGAAGCATATAGTAAAATAGCTGATGCAAAAATCAGTGTGAAATTCTGTTTCAGATAAAACGCCAGTAGCTCTTGCTGCATTAATAATGCATCAAATCTCTAAAGCACCTTGTATTTTTCTCATATACATCAACTTACACCTGGATTTTGTAATGTTTTTTGTAGGAACAGTTACTGCTTTTCCTCTGGACTATGAATTCTATTTAAATTTGTGGCTGTAGTTTTGGTCTGGAAGTGAGGAAAGCACATTCTAAGTAGCACTGTGGTTTCCATCAAACACCTTGAGTAGTAGTTGAGAATTACCCCTGGCAGAACTGTGTCAGCTCAGACTTCTGCTGCTCAGAGAGGAGCCCTACGCTTTGCAGACCTTTACTTAGTGTATAAAATTCAGATTCCAGGTTGAGGAAAAGGAAAGAAATAGAAAAGCTGTCAAATTTATGAATGATTTAGGCAGAGAAATCTGTACCTTCGCTCATCTCTGTGTATCATTTCCTTGTCTATGTCTGGTCATCCTGCAGGGTAAAAATTGGCAGTCTCCATAGTCTGAAAGTACAAGAGTGGTGTTCAGATTCTGGGCAAGAAAAAGCTTTTGCCAGTTGGTACCTCTGTCACCAAAACAGTGAGTTATATACCCAGAATGATTAACATAGCCCAAGAGTCATATCCTTTGCCCTGCCTCACTCCTGGCCGTCAGTGCTGGGGTATCTTTAACTGAGTATCTGACTCTTTTTTCCCCACTAGTTTTTAAAGGAGTGAGATACTTTTCACTTTTTACTCATGTAGTATCTACATACTGATAATTGAGATCTCAATTTAAGGTTCTTAGGACAAGAAGTGCGTACAAGTAAGTTTTTCTTTTCCACATCTTTTGCCTTTGGCTACAGGAGTCTGTTTTGCTAAATAGTGTGAGTTGATTTGTCAATTCATATAGCACTGTTGGAGTCATTGACTAATTTCCAATTGGTATTGTAGGTAAATCCATTGTTGGAAAGATGCAGCTCCATTTCCAGGTTGTGGGACAGGGTTTGGAGATGGGCAGTTTGGGGTTCCTCTACTTGCTGCACTCGTGGGCATTTGCAGGGAGCCTTGCTGCAAGCAGTCCCACAAGCCTGGGGTTGCAGTCTGTGGAGGGTAATCATGTGAGAAGGGAATATTGCAGTGTTAAATAGCAATAACAGCATTCCAATATTAATGGAGAAGAATAAAAAACAAGGTTGTTACCTTTGGTGACCCCTAATGACACTGGGTTGCCTTCTCTAGTGTGAGCAGATGTTTGGTAGCCTTTTCTGTAAGTTATGTTCCCCAATGTGTGTTTAATTCAAATAGTAAGAAAAAACAGGATGGCATTGTGTTTTTGTGGGAGAGGAGTAATAAACTGCTTAGAAATCAGAGAGGTTGCTTGTAGGGAAAGTATCCGTGTGACTTGCTGCAGAGCAAATCACCAAGATCAATGGTAGGGCAAACAGGCTCAACATTTCCAGAAGCCCAGCTACACTCTGTGCAGAGCAGCACAAGAGGGTATTTAGAGCATGAATAGCTCTTTATTAGCTGCTATGTGTTTCACTTTGTCATTTTTCAGAGTTGCTACAATCCCGGAGTCTGAAAACCTTGGATCTGTGTTTTCATTGGCAAACTGATAGGGAAGGAAGCCAAAATATTTGTTACAGCCAAAATAAATCTAATAGCCAAGAAAAACTAGTTTAGCCCTGTGATCCTGGTGCTTTCTCTGAAATTTACTGGGTCATGGGAAGCTTCATTTGGCCTCCCTTAATGAGTCTGCTCAAGCAGAGCTCTGGCAGACACCAAGATTGCTTTCTTAGGGTTAAGGAAGAGAATCTTTGCCAAAGGGACAGAGGACAGCTCTTAAACTAAGCAAGTCTCCAGGGGGTGGATCAAAGGTAAGGAGTTGCCTTTTTGCAGGGTCTAAAACATAACCCAGTGATGAAGCAACAGGAGCAGGATTTGTGTGAGCTGGGGAGCGAGCCCCCAGCCCACTCCTTTTGGTGGCTGGCTAAGCTGGAGGCTCAGAGCCTCATTGGAAGGTGGCACCTCAGAGCCCAGAATTGCCTCCCCTCTTACCCCAAAGATTGTCCCAGGTGGAGGACATTAATTCTCATGGACTTTTTTGCATTTGTTCAGAAGGTTTTTGTCCACTTCAGTCTCCCTCTGGCTACTAACATACATATTCCTACCTTTTTTTTTTTGGTCTCCTTAGCCCCAGTTTTCTCTAATGAGATGTAGAGTTAATTTCCTTTATATCTCTTACTGGAATGCAGCAACAGGGCTGTTGATCCAAAAAAAGAGCCTTTTGTAATTATTTTCTTTTCATTTGATTAATGCTCTGTCCCTGTTTTCATCACCTGAAGTGTGCAGCTTTCTATGCAGAATTAACAGCATGGATATACTGATTAGTGCTGGTCACAAGTTTTCTCAGGAAATGGCTTTGGGTCTGCAAACACGCCTTTGCCAAAATAATTTTTTGCAGAAGCATGGCTGTTCCAGCTGTGTTCTAACAATGGCCAGGGCACTGTGCTAAAATTCTCCTTGCAGCCACCTCCTGTGGGTGCAGTGGTTATTGTTGGGGGATGCATTTTACTATTTTATTAATCTTCCCATATTTGATGATTTGGTGGTGATATATTCCCATCCCACATCTGTTTCCATAACATCTTAATGTGTTTGCATGCACAATCCTCATAGAGTTATGATTGCTTCTTGTTTATT